TCGAAGCTACCAGCATGAGTTTGACCAAACTGCGGGAGGCAGTAGAAGACAGGAGTGCCTGGCGTGCTCTGGTCCAGAGGGTCACGAACAGTCGGACACGACTAAACGACAACAACTCTGTGGCAAGGAGAGACTGGCCAGTAACATCCTCAGGAGATGATGTCTTTGCCCCAGCTTTGCAACAAGTGGTCCTTCTTCATCCCTGCCTCTCTCTCCTCCACTGCTCTCAGGAAGAACTTGAGGGATGCAAAGGGTCGTGACCTTGACTTAAAAGAAGGCCTCTTGGTCCACATAGAGTACCAGAGTTAGGGTACTAGGTAAAAAAAGAAAAAGGAACAAAAGGAGAGAGAAAAAGACATTTGTCAAATGGCACCAACAGCTTTCTATAGTGATCAAAGGTCACTTCACAGAAAGATAGCAATGAATGATGAGCTGCTTGCAGCTTCGAAAAAGAACAGGGAATTTGTTCAGCACCGAGAGCCACAGAAAATGTTGCGAGTCTGTCTTCAACCGTATCTCTGCAACCATGCAGGGATGGAAATAGGCATTCATTTGCTAATGATGGTTTAACCTAGGTCTTTTAGGATTCATGCTAGGAAAGGGAGAAATCCTGCAAAATATATCCTCCCAGAACATCTTCCTGTCCTCTAGCACGGTAAGCAGGGATCAAGGGTTCTCTCTGGGCTGTTTCTGTTCCTATTACTCTGGTTCCCTCAACGCACATTTCCTCCCACTGCTCCACAAAGGCTTTGTTAAAATAATAAAAAAAAGGGGGCCTGCCGTCTAATGGCCAGCGGCAGCGCAATTGATTTCACACGACAAGAACAGAGGGAATCAGAAGGTCCTTTCATGCACAATGTGATTTCAAAGAAGGAAAGAATTAAACAGCAAGTTCAGATCACTGGCCCTTTTGCCATTCCTTTTATTGTAAAGCAATTATCTTCCCTTTTGTTTGCGTCAAGGGGACCAGGCCTCCGAAAGTCTCGTCTGGGAAACTGTTAATAGAATTTATGCTAATTTGATGATTCCGGCGATTACCAGAGGGAGTGCCTTGCTCATATTTTGCAAGCCGTAAAATGTTTGACTGCGTCTCCGCAGCCCCATTAAAGGCCAATTGCTGGCTTCATCCAACACCCACGGCTGCTTCTGTGCCCATTCTCGGAGGGTGTCGACAGTGGTGTAGCGTGGGTTGTCAGCACCCGGGGCAAGGTAAGTAATTTGCGCCCCTTAGAGTGAGTGAGCCAGGTAGGGGCAGAGAGCTGCGAGTGCAAGCGCACGCCCCCCAGATGTTGCGCCCGGTGTGGCCGGCCCCCCCTGCACCCCCCACGCTACGCCACTGGGTGTCGAGGAAGTATCTACCCCTGCCATTTTGAATGGTCTCCAAAACCTCGCTTCATAAGCATTCAAGGAAGCAATGAGTCAGACCCATCGGCCTGTCTTGCTCAGTGCTGGTTTTGACCTTTCTTCAAGGCTTAGGACCCTCGTACCTACGGGACCACCTCTCCCGGTATGCCCCACGGAGGACCTTAAGGTCCATAAATAGCAACACCCTAGTGGTCCTGGGCCCTAAGGAAGTTAGATTAGCCTCAACCAGAGCCAGGGCCTTCTCAACACTGGCTCCGGCCTGGTGGAACGCTCTGCCTCATGAGACCAGAGCCCTGCAGGATCTGATTTCTTTCCGCAGGGCCTGTAAGACAGAGTTGTTCCGCCTGGCCTTTGGCTTGGAGTCAATTTGATTCCCTCCCCCTCTTTCTTTTTCCTTTCTCCTCCTGTGACGAGGCTGCATTTTAATGTTTCAATATTTTAATGTTGTATTTTAATCTTGTTTTTAAGTTGCATTCATTCAACTTGTTTTTATTATTGCTTGTTAGCCGCCCTGAGCCTGGCCTTGGCTGGGGAGGGCAGGATATAAATAAAAATTATTATTATTATTATTATTATTATTGACAGGGTTCTCCCCCAACCCCACTGGAAGATGCTGGGGACAGAACCTGGGATATTCTGCATGCAAAGCAGATGCTTTGTCCCTGAGCTACGGCCTTTTCCCCTACCAAAACTCTTTTACCCAGGAAGGCCTGAACACTAAAGGCAGAGTGAGTTGCAGGAAGACAATGGCCAGTGGCACACGCAGAGCTGGATCTTGGGGCTTGATTTGTAACCCGTAGCCTGAGAGGAGACTCAAAGGACTGCCTTAGAGCAGATGATGATGAGGGAGGCCAGCATGTAAGCAAACAGGCCTGGCGTCATCTTGACACCAGTTGTCACAACATCCCCCTTTCTTTAAAACCACGGTGTTATAGATTTGGGGGGAACCTTCATAAACCCTAGAAATTAATAAACAGTACGCCTGCTTCTTGGGAGAAAAGCAAAGACAAACCTAGACAGCATCTTAAAAAGCAGAGACATCACCTTTCCGACAAAGGTCCGTATAGTTAAAGCTATGGTTTTCCCAGTAGTGATGTATGGAAGTGAGAGCTGGACCATAAAGAAGGCTAATCGCTGAAGAATTGATGCTTTTGAATTATGGTGCTGGAGGAGACTCTTGAGAGTCCCATGGACTGCAAGAAGATCAAACCTATCCATTCTGGAGGAAATCAGCCCTGAGTGGTCACTGGAAGGACAGTTCCTGAAGCTGAGGCTCCAATACTTTGGCCACCTCATGGGAAGAGAAGACTCCCTGGAAAAGACCCTGATGTCAGGAAAGATGGAGGGCACAAGGAGAAGGGGACGACAGAGGGCGAGATGGTTGGACAGTGTTCTTGAAGCTACCAGCATGAGTTTGACCAAACTGCGGGAGGCAGTGGAAGACAGGAGTGCCTGGTGTGCTCTGGTCCATGGGGTCACGAAGAGTCGGACACGACTAAACAACAACAACAATTATGCAAAAGGACCTGGCCAGGCTAGGGCCATGAAGAAATAATACAGGGCCATTGAGAGCCATTGGCAGTGCAAGAGAACTGGCCTCCCCCCTTGCCTTGAGGTGTGAACAGAGATTTGGGGGGGGGAGTTTGGAAGGTTGCCAGTGTACCTGGGTGTGAGGTGACAGGAAAAGAGAGCCTTGGGTAAGATGTGCTGGGAAGAAGAAGGAGGAGTAAAGATTTGGAAAGGAACTTTGTGAAGGCATTCAACTGGACTGTCCTGGATGGCTCATGTATTTTATGGTAATACAGTCACATCTTGGTTCTTGAACGGAATCCGTTCCGGAAGTCCGTTCAACTTCCAATAACGTTTGAAAACCAAGGTGCGGCTTCTGATTGGCTGCAGGAGCTTCCTGTACTTAATTGGAAGCTGTGGAAGCCCCGTCGGACATTTGGGTTCCAAAGAACGTTTGCAAACCAGAACACTCATTTCCGGGTTTGTGGCGTTTGGGAGCCAAAACATTCAAGAACTAAGCTGTTTGAAAACCAAGGTACAACTGTGCATATCTTTTCAGGCTTTGTTTAAATGGACTGCTTGTATTCTTTGGGATACATATTTTGACCAGTTTGTTCACTGGGGATTATAGGGTTAACTAGCTGCAACCTGAGGCTCAAATATTTAAGATTTCATAGGTATGTGCTGTAGGGCAAATCCCTCCTCTCAGGATGGGAAAATTAAATGCTCTGAACCGCCTTGAACCTGTAACCTGACGGTAGAATCGTATTAATGACAAAGAGAATTTATATCAAGGAAGATATCCAGGAAGAGTGGATGCATTTTAATTTATTTTGTTTTCTCAGTTTTGTTCCACATGGAACATAAAGGGTGTTGGGGTTTTTTGCACATACTCCATTCTTTCTCAAACTCCATTCTTTCTCTTTTTAGTAAACTGAAAGTGAGAGTCAACTAAGTTGTTGCGCACATGGAACGAGGTCTGCTCGCTCTGCTAGACTTTCTCTTATCACCTCCCCTCATGGCTCCCCTGTTAAGGACAAAATCTTGGGGTACACTACCTAAAGCGTTTCCCAAATTCACCAGCGACTCTAACCCTTAGGGTTCAAGGATCAGTTAGGTGCAAGCAAAAGGCCGCAGCCAAGAAAACTGAAGCAAAACAGCAGCTAGGAAGCCTGATCGTTTATCCTTGTTGCAACAACCTCCAAGAAAAACAAATAAGAAGCTCAGAACAAAGCTTACGTGTATTTTTAAAAGTTCCTGTGACTTCCCACAATACATTTCACACAGCAGCATCAAGACTTTGCAGGTATGTCATAGAAAAGGTGTGATGTCAGGCAGAAATCTGAGATCTGAATCATAAGGTAAAGGCAAAGGTACCCCTGACAGTTAAGTCCAGTTGCAGATGACTCTGGGGTTGCGGCACTCACCTTGCTTTACAGACCGAGGGAACCAGCGTTTATCGGCAGACAATTTTTCCGGGTCATGTGGCCAGCATGACTAAACTGCTTCTGGCGAAACCAGAGCAGCGCACGAAAATGCCGTTTACCTTCCTGCCGGAGTGGTACCTATTTATCTACTTGCACTGGCGTGCTTTTGAACTGCTAGGTTGGCAGGAGCAGGGACCGAGCAACGAGAGCTCAACCCGTCGTGGGGATTCGAACTGCCAACCTTCCGATTGGCACGCCCAAGAGGCTCAGTGGTTTAGATCACAGTGCCACCTGCGTCCCTTCAATCATACATCAACCTTAAATCTGCTCTGGATGGTGGGGGAAGCCCCCAAATAGGTTTAGGGGGCACAGGGGGAGGGGAGCGTCTTTGTCAAATTCCATTCTCCAGAGCTTGTTTCAAAAACTTGGTGTTGTTTCTCTTATTTTAGCACCCTCACGCCCCAAAGCTTGCACTGTCTTGGGGAGCTTCCAGACATCCCAGGAAGCTTATTTATAAAGGAGGAGATTTGTAGGGGGAAATCCTTCCCTTTATCTGGTGGTTGCAAGTTGTTTTAAGGGGGAAGGTGGGGACTGAGCAGAGGGGGACCATCTGTCATTGAAGCCAAATATAGATGGGTTGCCTCTTCACGCTGGAGGTGAACTAAGGGGCAAAGTAATAAGTTGGAAGCTCAAGCAGATACCTTTAGCTCAGTGGGTAAAGCATGAGACTCTTAACCTCAGGGTCTTTGGTTCAAGCCCCATGTTGGGCAAAAGATTCCCGCATTGCAGGGGGTTGGACTAGATGACCCTTGTGGTCCCCTCTAACACTACAATCAGGGGCAAGCATATGTGGCGCCAGGGTGCAAAGATCCGCCCGGAAAAGAAAAGATCTGCTCAGGAAAAGAAAACAGGTAACATAAGGAGCCCGAGGCATCAGCGACTGAGCGAAGCTGGGCACTTCATGGTGTCAGCAGCGTGCGCTCGCCGGGCCTCTCCATGGCCCTACGCCAATCCCAGGCGCGCAAGAGGGCGGAGCCGGCCGGCCACCTCAGCACCTCGCTGCCTTGCTCACCTCTGAACTCACGGCGCAGAGCTGCCCGCAGCAGAATAGCCCGCTGTGGCTCTCCAACCGACGGATGGGCTCTTCCTGGGACTCCAACGCTTGGGCCCCAGACTCACGGCCTGGCGCCCTTGAGAGCCCAGCGCCCCGGTGCCCTGCACCCCTGGCGCCTATGGTTAAGATGGCCCTGACTACAATTCTATGATTCTATGAACATGCAGTCTGTTCAGTTATCATAAATTTTAGGAAGTAGCTACACATGCCTGAGGAGTTTAATCACGAAGAAACAAGACTGAGGGCCTGCAACTCTTTCTTAATGCTGTATTTTAAAAGAAAGCTGTACACAGGGATTCAAAAGAGCCTCGTCAGCTATGAAGAAATATTCTGCATTCAGTCTATATGAGCTTTAGAGTTTTCCTAGTCTTTTTCTTGCGAGTATTCGCTCATTCCACTGTACTCCATCAGGTGGCGCTGTAAGCCTTTGGGATGAATCACGGAGCGTTTCCGGAGTAGAGATCGTGCCGGCGACTGTACCCCGCAGCGTGTTTTGTTAGGGTCTTGACCAGCCTAGCATTAAACAATCCTGCCCAAGGAGGGAATTTTGCTGTTTAAAGAACTCACGGCCTTATTCCGAGCTCGGAATCTGGAATCGTTCCTGTGGCGCTAAACTGGCGTGCGCACTCTGCGAGGGAAACCGGGGTGGGGTGGGGTGGGGTGGCGGGGAGCATGAAATGTGAAATCTGGTCTCTCATTTCAAAGAGCAAAAGGATTTACCAACAGTGGAGAGGAGGGATTCTGAGTCAGGAGAGAAGGGAAGCTTTCTGCAAAGAAGACAATGGAAGGTCCCCCCCCCATTGATCTCAAAACAAGCCTTTTGACAGACAGTTCTGCGCTTTTTATTTCTGAATGTGGCAAACGAAGCAATAGTGGGGCTTCTTGCCATTTAAATGTGTGGCTTTAAAATCAAACCGAGTCCACGGATCTATCTGCATTTGAAACGAAACTATTATTGGGCAAATAATCCGTTTCATAGTGAGTCCCTAGTCCTCACCCCCACCCCTTTCCAGTCCCTGTGCCAGCTATTTTGGAGTTTTACAGCCACTGAGGATCTAGCTTATGTAAGTCGGGCAAAGCCTGCGTTTGAGAGAGGGAGACATTCAGCGAAAGAAGAAGTGCTGCTACGATGCAGGAGAATGCATCGGGGAGCAGTTCTTCCATACAAGATATTGAAAATCCTAAAGCCCAGGGCAGTGATGGTGCTCCAGAGAAAATTGCCAGTGACTCAGACTGTGCAGATAATTATTTTCATGCAGCAATGGGAGCAAGTTGCTTCCTTGCCGCTGCAATAGGCTGTGTCGGTGCTTAAGACTTGGGCCGCATCCGCACCATATACCCAAAGCACTCTTACTCCACTTTTAACAGCCATGGCTCCCCCAGCCCACCCACCCCCCAAAGAATCCTAGGAATTGAAATTTGTGCCGAGAGAGCCTCCGCAGATTTGCAATTCCCAGAACCCTTAACAAACTAGAATCATCCGGGGGAAGCCATGACCGTTCAAGTGGTATGAACGTTGTGGAGACATCTTATCTTCAAAAGACATTTAAAGCTTCCCCTTCACCAAGAATCCTGGTAACTGTAGCTCTCCCCTCGCATAGCTAACAGTCCTGGAACAGCACCTCCAACACTGGAAAGGAAGCCTCGTGTGCCTTCTACCACGACATCCATCAATGTCCACTCTTGGCATAGTCATGTACAGTGGTACCTCGGGTTACAGACGCTTCAGGTTACAGACTGTGCTAACCCAGAAATAGTACCTCGGGTTAAGAACTTTGCTTCAGGATGAGAACAGAAATCGTGCAGCGGCAGCGGGAGGCCCCATTAGCTAAAGTGGTACCTCAGGTTAAGAACAGTTTCAGGTTAAGAACAGACCTCCAGAATGAATTACCGTATTTTTCGCCCCATAGGGCGCACCGGCCTATAGGGCGCACCTAGGGTTTTTTTTGGGGGGGGAATAAAGGTAAAAAAATATTTCCCCCCCAGGCACAGGGCTGGGGTGGGGGAAGCCCAAGGTTCCCCCAACCCCAGGCCCCATAACAGGCTGCTATCCGCAAGCCTTGGGAGCCTGGCGGGAGCTCCCCAGGCTTGCGGATATCTGCCCGAAGCCTGCTTCAGTGCGCACTGCTTCAGCGCGCCCCGGGCTTCGGGCAGCAGGCTGCTATCCGCAAGTCTAGGGAGCCCTGCGGGAACTCCCACAGGCTCCCAAGGCTTGCGGATAGTTCCTGAAGCCTGGAGAGCGAGAGGGGTCGGTGTGCACCGACCCCTCTCGCTCTCCAGGCTTCAGCGAAAGCCTGCATTTGCTCCATAGGACGCACACACATTTCCCCTTAATTTTTGGAGGGGAAAAAGTGCATCCTATAGGGCGAAAAATATGGTAAGTTCTTAACCCGAGGTACCACTGTACTCCTTTAGCTCCTTTTCTGCTTTCATCATCTACCACTGCTGGGTCCTCCTCTTCTTCCTCCAAATCAATTTTTTTTGCCAGCCCTTTTTTCCTTTTTGGGTGGAGCAGGGCAAGTATTGGGCTCCGTAGAAGCAGAACACAGACTCCCGTGCAAGTCTGTCATCTCCTTTATGGCCTCCTGCCTGACAGCCTCTGGAGCTGTCAAGACACGCAGTTCCCATTATTCTTGGCTGTGGGTGGGTTCTTTAAATGTGCAGGACACAGGTGGCGCTGTGGTCTAAACCACTGAGCCCCTTGGGCTTGCCGATCGGAAGGTCAGTGGTTCAAATCCCCGCAACGGGGTGAGCCCCCGTTGCTCTGTCCCAGCTCCTGCCAACCTAGCAATTCGAAACCACGCCAGTGCAAGTAGATAAATAGGTGCCGCTGCAGCGGGAAGGTAAACAGCGTTTCCGTGTGCTCTGGCTTCCGTCACGGTGATCTGTTGCGCCAGACGCTGGCCACATGACCCAGAAAGCTGTCTGTAGACAAACACCGGCTCCCTTGGCCTGAAAGCGAGATGAGCGCCGCAACCCCATAGATGCTCTTGACTGGACTTAACCATCCTGGGGTCCTTTACCTAAATGTGCTTTAGAGGTATTGTGTGTGCGCAAGTAACTTTAATTTGTATTGTGTGGGAATGACTGGAGAATACAATGGGGTGTGCACATACACACACACACACACACACACACACACACGAATTCATGCACACACGTTCCATGAATTAGCATGGGGTGCAAACCCCTGGGACATTCTTTGCGACTACCAACAAATAGGAATGGAAGGGCTGTTTTCTCATTCATTTCAGGTGGGGATGTGCTCTTAGGCCACATCTGCCCATTGCCCAGTCTGCTGCCCACTTAAGGTTACCAGATTTTTTTCAATGAATCCAGGGACACTTTTCAACTTCCTACTAAATAGATGGATTTGTAAATCCGGGAACTGTCCCCAGGAAACGGGGACGTCTTGTAACCTTACCCTAACGTCACTCTGTATCTGCTGCCTGAGGCAGCCTCTTCCTCTCGCCTCATAAGAGGGACGTTTCAGTCCCACGTTGACACTAACAAAAGTTAGGGGTGCCGGGTCAGAAGCATCCCAGATCTGGAGATTTCAGTGACATCACAAGGGGAGGGCCTTTTTCTCTGCAGCCACCACGTCCTTTTGTGACATCACTGGCAGCTGGCAGCCAGCGGCAACAGCTGGAGAGCCATCAGCACAGACTCCCCAAGCCTGACTGGGTGGCTTCCAACTTATATAAAAACATAATAAAACATTGCACATTTAAAAGCTTCCCCATACAGGGATGCCTTCAGATGCCTTCCAAAAGTTATATAGTTGCTCATCTTCTTGACATCTGATGGGAGGGTGTTCCACAGGGTGGGCGCCACTACCAAGAAGACCCTCTGCCTTGTTCTCTGTAACTTCAATTCTCGCAGTGAGGGAACTGCCAGAAGGCCCTTGGAGGTGGACCTCAGTTTCTGAGCTGAACGCTCCTTCAGGTATACTGGGCCGAGGCCATCAGGGCTTTAAAAGTCAGCACCAACACTTAGAATTGTGCTCGGAAACATACTGAGAGCTAATGTAAGTCTTTCAGGACCAGTGTTATGTGGTCCCTGTGGCCGCTCCCAGTGACCAGCCTAGCTGCCACAAGGGTACGCCACACAAGCATACACTAGCCAACATCCATAAAGAACACCATCGTCATTCACTCTCTTTTTATATATATAATCTTAATTAAATTTTCTGTTTTACAATTTAAAATACTCATTTAAAACAACCTTAAAATATCAATGACTTCCCTTCTTCTCTTTCCATGGTTCATTTTGCACATCATATATCCCTGCATATTTTACAAAATCTAAACCGTTCGGTATTCCATTACTACGTCTTTCAAAACTTACCGGTATTTACACTGTTAAGTTTATCTTAATGCTGCCAACATTTTCAGGTGTACACAATCCCCCCCCCCCATATATTCAATAAACATTTTCCAATCTTCTCTAAATGTATGTTCTTCTTGTTACCTTATTCTATATGTTAAGTCTGCATGCTGCGCATATTCTGTCAGCTTAAGTTGTCAGTCTTCTTTAGTTAGGACCTCACTTGTTTTCCATTTTTGGACTAACAAAACACGGGCCACAGTTGTAGCATACATAAATAACCTTTTTTGACACCTGGGAATTTCAGTCTGAATTATCCCCAACGAAAAG